TATATATATATATATATAAAGATGAGTTGTTTTATAAAATCACATTTCAATGTGTTCTTATATATTCATTCATTATTTCTTATGACTTATAACATCTCAATCCTCATCTCATCATAGAACTTGTTCAATTCATCACCCCACCTTAATGGTGAGCTTCACTATTGCACAAACCATTGATGAAAAAATTCGATGGTATTTTTCTGTCATATAATTTAATTTAAAAAATTGATTTTCAGGATATAGAAAATAAATACACAACAAAATGTAAACAAAATTGCAAAAAAAAAAAAAAAAAAAGGACAGAAGGCAAAAATAAAATACATATTTCACAGGTTTTAAAAAAAAAAAATAAATGGACAGAAGGCAAAAATAAAATACATATTTCACAGGATTGTAAGGCTTAGTGCAGGTTTTTTCCTTCAATGCGCTGGTTTTGTGTCGCGGGGTAACCAACCCGCCAAACGTGCTCCACACCGAATCCCCATTCGGTATCTTGCTTCCCTCGAGGCTGGTAGATGGGGTAGTTGGGGATGCTCGTTCCCACCTGCACCTCTCTATATAGATCCATCGTTTGTCCAAAATTCTCTCTCTCTGCTTTTCTCTCAGAAAAACAAGCGGGAGCTCTCTGATTGACGGAGGTAGGCATTGCAGTATGCGATCTATGGTCTCAGCTATGTCGTTGGTTTTCATTTGAATCAGTAATTGAACTTGCGTTGGAAATGGATGTTTGACCTGTGGTTTGCTTTTTGATGGCGTGATTCATGCCTCAGCTGATTGAATTTATGCATCGAGCCACACTGTTCCATTTTGAGTTTTGCCAATCTCTAGTTCTGGTATCAATTGTGTTTTTTCATTCGATCTGTGATTTTGTGTTAATAGGGGTTGCGAAGTGAGATTTTCCTATTTGGATTATGGTCTTTTGTTTATTAGAAGGGAGCCCAGGAGTTGTTTTTGTTTTATTTTTTGTTTTTTATGATGGTTTAAACTCGGATCTGCCGGTTTCATCTTGATGAGCTATTTGTTTAATTAGGAGCATTGTACCATTTCAATGCTTCATGTTTATGATTTTGATGTGATATACCTTTGGGTCTTGCAAAAACCTGCATTTAGTAGGCTTCAAGCTCCTGATCTGCTCGATGGAGAATGACTAACTGTATGTTGATGTGCAGGCGTGGTTGTTTTAATTTTGCATCATGGCTACAGGACAAATTTTCTCACGAAATACGCAAGCGTTGTTCTACAATTACAAGCAACTTCCAATTCAGCGGATGCTTGACTTCGACTTTCTTTGCGGTATTGTTTCATTCTTGCTGGCTTGTTTCATCTGGAGGGAGAGCGCGCTATTTTTTGTAAGAAGCTAGTAATTTATTATTAGTTTTTGGTTGATGATCATTTCAATCTCCTTTATAGGGAGGGAAATTCCTTCTGTTGCTGGAATTATTAATCCTGGTTCTGAGGGATTCCAAAAATTATTCTTTGGTCAAGAAGAAATTGCCATTCCAGTTCATTCAAGGTCAGCTCACCTTTTTGTGTTAAATGCATTTGATATTATTAATTGTATGCTTTAAAAAATAAATAAAAGTTACGCCTTTAAGGCAAAACCTTCATCATCTACATCCATTCATTGCCAAAAATGAGGTTATCATTAGTCCATTCCAATCCCTATACATTTTTAATCAAGTGTGAATGCTTGAAGGATTGAAGGAATTGTTCTTGCTTAGCTGTTTGTGCTTTCTTCAGGTATTTGCATGAGATTTATCATGCTGGTGAAACGTTTTAAAAGCACTAATCCTCAGCTTCTATTGATATAATTCCATGTATTTCTTGATTTAAACCTAGATGCTTTTAAAGCTATAAGTGAACTTTCCTGTTAAATCTCATCTTTTGCAAGAGCGCCTAAAGTTTTTTTTTTTTTTTTTGGGTACAAATTTTAGGTGGTGTCAGACAAAAGATGAGATTTAAGTTATTAGGATTTAGTAAATCTCATAAATCTAGATTTACTAAATTCTGAATGGGATGAATCCGAAAAACTCACGGATTTAGTCGGATTTACTAAATCCTATAAATCCAATAAAACTGTTTGGCAATAAGTTGAACAAACCGCTAAATTCACATGTTCGTGGGATTTAGTAAATTCAGGCACGGATTTACTAAATCCTATAAATCCAATAAAATTGTTTGGCAATAAGTTGAACAAACCCAATAGTTCTTTCATCAAAACCCGTAAATTCACATGTTCGTGGGATTTAGTAAATTCAGGATTTATGGACGAAATTTTTTAAATCTGGATTTATCAAATCCGCGGCCTTATTTTGTCCAAAATGACAATCTGGCAAGATTTAGCTTACATCCAGGTTAAATTTGGGGCTAAATACATTGCCAGACAGCCCCTTAATTTGAATCCTAAATTGAAAGCCATTTTAAAGCTGCATGTGATCCCACATCCATTAGTATGGCCTACTGCCACAGAAAATGTAGTTGATGATTCATTTAGTGCATGGTCCCATGAAAAATTATTGAGTTATTATTATTTTTTTTAATAGATCAGGATATGAAGATTCAGGCAGTAAGTCTTTATGTTTTACTGGTATTTGATGGCATTTATTACTTCATGCTTTATGGCCTCCTCAATTTATTTATTACTCATGATTACTGGGTAAAACGATCTGTTGAAAGGTAAGGATGAGACTTTACCATCCAAGTCAAAGCAAATCTCTCATGATATTGATGTAAAAGCATTTGAAATGATTTCTTTTAACTGAGTTAAAAGAACCGTAAGAAGTCCGTGTATTGCATCATAATAAAATTATGGATGATTTACACCACCCAATTCATATGTATTTATACATCTAACACCTAAACTTCAAATTTTATATACATACCACTTCACCTATGCATAAAACGTTGTACTTCACATTTTAAAAGTTAAATTGGTGGCGTTTTTTATGTGATATGAAAGATTTGGGTGGTATAAATGTAAAAAATAAAGTTTAGGTGTTAGATATGTAAATACATATGCATTGGGTGGTATGTGGTGGTATGTATGTAAATGCCTAAATGCCCCTAAAATTATTATCCGCATAGATTTCTAATTCTGATTCCATTTTATTTTTTATTACTTCGAGTCGTAGGGTTGCACCAATGCAAAACCTGCAACTTCTTTATGGGTGTCTGTTGACCTCAATTTTTCGTGAGGTCTAGTATTCCTCGTAGGAGTTAGGATCTAGCCTTAGGGGTCTTCCTGCGACTATCTTAGAACCTTAGAAATGGATCCCGCCTCATTCTAGAAATTCAACCCTCTTCGGTACTCTTTTGTGGTTTCGCGTGTGTGGTATCGACTTCTAACACTTAGAAGGATGAAACCAACATGAGGAACCCAAAAGGGATCCCTATAGGACCTTTTGAGCCTTAGGGTGACCTTTTGCACAATTCGCACTCCCGCGCGCACAAGCTTCGCAATTCGATACGTCCGATCGCCGCAATTCGCATTGCCTGCATTGTTACTTGTCGAATGCTCAATTAATCTTGTTGGGGCGATCGACCGCGGGTCGAAATTTTGTAAAATTTGAATTTCGACTCGTTTTTGACCCAATTGTCGACGACGTCGTTCGAGCGACCCCGGATGAGCGATTGCATCATAAAAAAATTATGGATGATTTACACCACCCAATTCCTATGTATTTATACATCCTAAACTTCAAATTTTATATACATACCGCTTCACCCGTGCATGAAACGTTGTACTTTACATTTTAAAAGTTAAATTGGTGGCATTTTTTATGTGATATGAAAGATTTGGGTGGTATAAATGTAAAAAATAAAGTTTAGGTGTTAGATATGTAAATACATATGCATTGGGTGGTATGTATGTAAATGCCTCTAAAATTATTATCCGTTGTAGATTTCTAATTTTGATTCCATTTTATTTTTTATTACTTCGAGTATTAGAGTTGCACCAATGCAAAATCTGCTACTTTTTTATGGGTGCATCTTTCTGTCTTTTTTCCATTTTTTGGGTTTTGATTTAGAAAAGACATTACTACATATTTATGGATTTATGGGGCAGCCCTCTTATTAACCATGTTATCTTCTGTTTGTGAAATCCTATGTTAGCATTGAAGCAGCTTGCAGCGCTCACTCAACTGCAGATGTTTTTATCAACTTTGCTTCCTATAGAAGGTTTGAGACTTATTACTATCATTTGCTTCACTTTCTGCTCTTTTAATATCATTCCCAATTTTTCAAATATGTTGATTATTTTTTTCATTTTTTTCAGTGCAGCCGCTTCTTCAATGGCTGCAACA